CTGAATGCACCAGGACCATTTCCATTGGGGGTTCCCTGCTATAGCTGCAAAATAAGTTTGATCAAAGTGAGGTGTGGATCTGATTTCTGGTTATTCTGCACCTTGATGCCAATCCCAATCCTGTCAAAGTCACTGGCAGTCTTTCCACTGACTTAAATGGGCCTTGGGTTAGGTCAGCTGGATAGTCATATAGTGTAAAGTAATAGTAACAGTATAGTATTGCCATTTTGTTGTGAGGACCTTTTACAGCCACTGATGATGACACTAGGTAAAGAGCAACTGCAAACAGGACCCTTCTGCTGTACCTGCAGCATTTTTTGTTTTGGGCATAATCGAAGAAACTCTCCAGTATGCATTAAGGATACTACTCTGGAATGCATCTCGCTTCAAGATAGCTGCACGTACTGAACAGTGAAGTGTGCTTAAAGTTATGCCAAGCATAAGTACCTTCCTGAATTGAGGCCTACATCTGCTACCTACGAAAGAGAAACTAATTAGAATACATTATGTGGCAGTTATAGGACAGAATGTGAATATTAAAGAAAGCTCAAAAACAACTGCATGCACCCAGAGGGTCAGTGAGCTTCGAAGGAGGATGCTGAAGCCGGAGGTGCTGCTGCAGCCAAAGCTGGCTACAGGTTTTGCTGGGCTCTGAGCAAGGTGGACGTGGGGGCTGGGGTGTGTAGGCTCAGCTCTGGGTCTCTGGAAAGGGCATGGGCTTGGACAGAAAGGGGCAGTACTGAAGGATAGCTTCCTTCACCCAGCCTTAGTGATGCCCGGACCAATCTGTGCAGGGCTCCGGAGATGATTTAAGGGCCCATGGCACTGGCTGCTGCCGCTGCCATGGTAGCAGCCCGAAACCCCAGGCTCTTTTTAATTCTTGCCCCCCGGGGCAGCTGTCCCCTTTACTCCCACTCTCCTCATGTTGGCATCCCTGGCTGCAGCCCGTGGCTTGAAGTGGTTTCCCTCATATACAGGGTTTAGTTTGGTTCAATGGTTTTCAGCTTCCCCACAACACAAATTGTTCCAGCTCTCAGTGCCTGGTTTGCTTTCATTGTCCAAACTGAAATGCTGAAAGTAACCAAACTGCATAACTAGGGCAAATTAAATTCATATCCTTGAAAACAGTTTCACTTTTAACGATGTAAGTTGTTGTTAGCAACCCCAGGCAGGAGGCATAAATTGTTGCTTTTTTAAAAGGGAACTGTGATGGGTGCATACTACACACAGGCCCTGAAAAGATTCATGTGGGCTTGGGGACCCAATTAGAGCCAGGCCTAACTGAACAAGCGGCTCAGCTAGGCTGGAGCAGACTGGATTATGAAGCCAGGATGTTAGCTGCAGAAGGGGGCTACAGAGAGACTGTCTGAGTTTGCTCTGGGGAGCAGAGAGGAAGGAAGGTGAAAACACAAGAGGTCAAAGAAGCATCAGGGTTCTGATCAACCCCAGAGGACCTGGGGGGAAAGGAAGCCTGAGATAGTTAGACAGGAAGAAACCAAAAGAAACAGCAGTGAGGGGTAGAACCACGCAGACCGTGGCTGCCTGTTACAAGGTCTCTCGGCTGGAACTCGGTGTAGGGGGCATGCCTGGGTTCCCTAACCAGCCCCTGGGAAGTGGCACAGGAGCACTGGAGATGCGCACTGGACAGCTGGTTTAGAGATATACTGGAAGGTGCAGATTCTGGAAGGTGCAGATTACAGTGCAGGGCCAAGCCACAGAAACACTGCATTTCCTGTCACAGAGAGTGAGAGAGATCAGGGCATGCGGGGAGCAGAGGAAGGGGCACTGGAGATGGACAGATCTGATCTCCAGAGCAAGCAGGAGGAGCTGCCCCTTGTGTGCGTGGTCCTGGGGCAGGGACACTTTCACATGAGTGAAGATTGGGGAAATACACTGTGGCTATGTCTACACTGGCCCCTTCTTCGGAAGGGGCATGCTAATTTTGAACTTGGGAATAGGGAAATCCGCGGGGGATTTAAATATCCCCCGCAGGATTTAAATAAACATGGACGCCGCTTTTTTTCCGGCTTGGGGAAAAGCTGGAAAAAAGCGTCTAAACTGGCGCGATCCTCCGGAATAAAACCCTTTTCCGTAGGATCTCTTAAGTAGGAATAAGAGATCCTACGGAAAAGGGCTTTATTCCGGAGGATCGCGCCAGTCTAGACGCTTTTTTCCGGCTTTTCCCCAAGCCGGAAAAAAAGTGGCAGCCATGTTTATTTAAATCCCGCGGGGGATATTTAAATCCCCCGCGGATTTCCCTATTCCCAAGTTCAAAATTAGCATGCCCCTTCCGAAGAAGGGGCCAGTGTAGACGTAGCCCATGTATTTCAGCCATTATTCTGCATTTATTTTTGCGTGTTCCACTTTCTCTTGCCAGTGTCATATAGGTTACTTAAATGCATGTGTGTGTGCAGTTCTCAAGCACAATCACCATAAAAAAGATGTGTCTGGATCTCCTTCTGCATTAGCATCTCCCCACTATGCCAATTACCCATGTCAGCAACAGCTTACTCTTTCTACCTGCTGTCCAGTTCCAGCTTACCTGTGCTCCCAGGCCATGCTCAGGATCCATGGGAGTTACTGGGGGCTGCTCCCTTGCCCAGCTGTGCTCACCCCCCACCCTTGTGCATAAGAATTTTTTGATATTCTCTCATGCTCGTGCATGAATTAGGAAGTGAATCCAAACATGGGCGAAACTGATTGCCCACAGTGCTGGTAAATGCATGAAGAAAACAGAGAAATGTCTCTTGCAATTTCTCTACATTTGACTAATCTAAAGTACTAATCGGTGATAATAGTAAGGAAAGGTAATTTCTAGTGAAATGACATCTGTGTTGACAGTAACCCTTTAAATGGGATTTGAAACAGAAACCTAATACTGCCCCTTGAAAAATTATTTTAAAAAAATCCCTCCCAGCCCAGCCCTTGTTCCAAGTTTCTTCCCTGAGGCTGTATTTAAGGGTGAGGGGACTCAAAGGGTATCTCAGCATAATCATGGGGCTGCAGAGGAGTCTAAGGACCTCTTTTCTGGACTAGTCTCTGGGTTGCCTCGGGAAGAGCTCGGACTCCAGGAAGCAAAAAACAAAGCTAACTGTCCATTGGACAAGGCTAGGAATTCATCTGCTGCAATCTGAGACCATCTTTCTGTTACAGAAACTATTCCTATTGACTAATTTTGGACGAGTTTCCTCTTGCCTGCCTCCCCATCTCTCCCCTTCTCCCTCTCCTTTCAAAAAGCTAATTGGTACAAAATATCTCCCTCCGTCTTGGGGAAGAGAATTGCTGGCAGCCTCCAACCAGCACTTCCAAAGAAATACAAACAATAGCAAGGAAAAAAACATAAATACAATTACAGAAATACCCTGCCACCACCAGCCAAGACAGCATTCAATATCGATCTCTAGACACCAGCAAATGATCACTGAGCAACCCAGCCTACAGACTCATGGTAGTGGAAGACAAAACAGCTGATGCCACCTTGGAAGGAGACAAGTTGAATCCCCAGGGATGGAGAGCATTGTGCACTTGCATGCGCTCTCTCTCGTTCCCTCATAGTGTTTTTATTGTCTCCCTGCCATTTCTCAGCTGCTGGCTTTGGTGCAATTGATAATGACACAAACAGCAGCTGAGGTGGAAAATGCTCCACCAGGGCCCGTGATCCTGGTGCGGCTGTTTGCTGGCTCTGCTACACGTTTTCCCGATGTCCTTGGCATTTTGCTTCTCCCAGTGCACAGTCTAAGGGAGTGTGTTCATCCTTGTAGGGCTCAGTCACGTCTCTCAAGGTTTAATGGGCGGGTGGTATGTTTAAAAGTCTGCAGAGACGCACAGCGTGTCTTATACGGGAGTGTTTGTCAGCGTAAGGCAGCAGCAGTCAGCATGGAAGGAAGGAGTCCCCCAGGCGCCCCTCGCTGGGGATTTAGTAAGATGTTTCTTCGCAACAAATCCCAGTCAAGTCCCTTTCTGACAGTTCTGTCAATCCAACCAAAACCAGCTACGCGAGGTCTTTAAGTCTGCCCAAGACGATATCAGTGCAACCCTTAGCTCCTTTCACCTCTTCTCATGCTCGGCGAGACGAGGGACTGTAAAGTGTACAGACAGTTTTAAAACATACAATTCTCTCTTTGGGTGTGTAGTGCAGAAATGCCCTTTGAAAGAAGGGTGGCGCTTGTGCAGAGAAGCAGTTAAGAGGTGAGGTATGGGAGCTAGTGCTTACTGCTTTCTTTCTCCCCACTGCCAGATTTTGAGCTCCATTCTGTTTCAAAGGGTGGCCACATTATAATCCATCTAGATAAGGCAGAGCTCCTGGATGTTACTGCATTTCCCCTGCTGTCCCCTGGAGAATCAGAAAGGAGGAGCACAGGGCAAACACAAGCCTTACAAACAAGGATGTGAGCCATGTGAGCAGAGGACAGCGGCGGTCCCTTTCCACTTGCCCTTTTCCTGCTTCCCCAGCTGATCCTGTGCTCAGGTTTTCCTTTTCTCAGTCTAATCACACGTTTCCATATAGAAACCCAGCTCTGAGGGCTCTTACGTGATCCAAAAGGCCCTCCTCTCCTCCAGCAAACTGATGGATCTGTTTGTGAGGGTCTCTGGGTTGCTGGCCAGTTTATAGCCAAACAAACTCATGGCTGGCCCGCAGACACTCTGCACCACCTGGGCCAGCTTGAAGGGGATGCTGAAGCGCCACTTCTCGAACTGCTCTGAGGAGTTCTTCTGGGTGGAGTAGATGCCATTGCTGTCCTGCGGCGCCTGGGTGTTCTTCTGGATCCATTCCTCCACCTGCGGGGTGAGGCTGATGCCAGCAAACCTGTACATCTCCTTGGCGTTTTGGAGGGGTGACCTGGCAATATCCTCATAGCGGATCAGCATGTAGCGGCCCTGCAGCCACGCTGGCTGCTTCAGGCCAAGTTCAGCCGAGAGACGGATGCTCTCGCAGTTCCCCCGCAGCCTCTGCACTTCATCCTCATTTAGGGGAGCTTCACCTTCTGAAGCCCATTTCTTCCACGTTTCATACTTGCCCGAGAAGGCCACAATGCGAGAGGCCAGCACTGCCCGGGGGTCCCGCACTAGCTGGATGATCCTCATGTCTAGGCGAGGGTCTTCAACCAGGGGTCGTAAGAACTCCAGCTGCCGAATTCGCACTGTCTTGAGTGCCATGTGATCCTTGTGCAGGCAGGCCTCTGCAGCAAGGGTCACGTTGAGGGGGCCGCAGCGCCGGTTCTTGCAGTGGTACTTCTCAAAGACCTTCTTGACGAAAGGGGTGCAAACAGGGTCTTCGCACAGGGAGCGGCTTGAGCCCCGCCGGAACATGAACGGGGTCAGGTGGTCCTCCGGGAGCGGGGTGATGAAGTTCTCTAGGATGTAGAGGTCACAGAGGAACAGCTGCTTCAACACATCTCGGTAGACAAGGGCTGACCCCACCGCGTTTGCGCCACCGGGCTCAAATGAAACCGTCCTCTCGATGTGCCACAATGGCTCAAAGAGGTAGAAAATGTTGCCCTGTTGGTTGAAGAACTCTCCCACAAAGGAGGAACCTGTGCGGGTGGTGGCCATGAGGAGGACGTGTCTCCGGGGTTCCTGTGCCATGGCAGGCTCCCTGCTCCCCCCCAGCTGCAGGGTGACATTCTGAAGCTGGCTCTTGAGCTGCAAGAAGGCAGAGTCCAGCTCACTGAGGGACAAGAGGGACCCATTTTCTGACAGCACTAGGCCAGGGTCTGTGCTGTTGGCCTCCATCAGAGATTGTGGGGTTTGTTTCAGCTTGTCTGATACCCTGCAAACAAAGAGAACAAAACCACAAAGAAAAACCATGAGGCCGGGGTTAAAAAGGGGCACATTTAGATTTTTCACCTCTGAGCATTTGAGGGCAAGGCTTATTTCACCTGAAGCCTAAAGAGGTCAGTGATTTCAGCTTACTCCCTTGTGCCCCGCTGCCTGTGTCGCAAAGCCCACACAGACTGGCACAACTGGCAGCTTCTTCAGGAGAGGTCTGGTTTGGGAGCAGCAAGTCAGAGCTGTACGTCGGGATTAATGGGCATTGGTGGAGCTATCAGGGGACCCAGAAGTAGAGCCGCAGGGCTTGCTGCAGGTCAGGACTGTGGGACTCCGGTAGAACAGCTTGCGCCGCCCGTGTCCACTCTAGTCACCCTTCATTTTCTCAATCATTAACATTTATCAGGTTTTAAAACAAAAGCCCAACAGCATGTCTACACTGGAAACTGGCATCGCTACATCTCTTCATGCCTCTGAAAGATGTCGTTCAGCTGACCTAACCCCGTATAGACAGACAAAGTCTTCCATTGATTCGCTACCCCCTCTCGCAGAAGTGGATTAACTAGAGTAAAGGGAGAAACTCTCCTGTCACTACAACAGCTGCACTGAAATGCTGCTGCACCTGCACCACTGCAGGTGTGTCATGGTAGTGTAAGTGCAGACATAGGCTTAAATAAAAACCCTTTTAATTCCCTCAGTACAGGCAAGTTGGCAGTTTCAGCTAGACACTTTGGTATCTCCTTACTTGTTATAGTCTATCTTGCTACAATCGTCTATGATGCCCATCACCAGTGTGATTGGCAGGCACATTCTCAAAGTGCGAGACTTACAAAGTAATCCGATGATCTAGGAGTCACTATAAAAATGTTTGGGTTGATGGAGCAGGCTGTTAACTGAAAGAGGGAAGAACTTGAAAAACCAAGACTAAGCACTGCTGCAAGAAGACCTTTCTCTGTAGACAGCTGTAGTGACAGACTGAGATTGTAATGGAAAGGTGACAGGGTGACAGGAAGAGAAGGGAAACAAAGCAGAAAAAAGAAAGTAATAATGGGAAAAGAGAAGAGATAAAGAAATGGAAAACCTTACTAAGGAAACGACTGGAAGAGACTTTAATGAAATGTGTGGTGTCACTCCAACGCTAACATGCTCGTTGCTGGGATATCTAGGTATGTGAATGAGAAACTCCTTCAGGCTAAACCCCGGAATTCAGAAACAGAATTAATGGCCTTCACATTCCAGCGGGGAGAAATGTATCCAGTTCTGAGGGGCTGGAAGGCTCACTGCAGATAGGTGGGGTGAAGGCTACATTGAGGATGAAGAGAAATCCCCTCCCAATATAACAACAGTTTGCTCCCTCTTTTTTCCTACCTCGAAATGATATTGTTTTCCTTCTCGATAATGACAAGAGCTACAACAAACACCAGGAGAATGGCATATTTGCTCTTCATTCTCAGGCAGTGCCGCAGGTCCCGGATATCCTGGGGTAAAGTGTGTCCTTTATCCATGGGGAGAGACTGGGGTGTCCAAGGTTTTGCCTCGGAAAGTCCCTCCCCCTCCAAGGAGAATAAAGGAGCACCTCCCTGGCTCCTACTGCTTTGCAGCTATCTAGACGGCATCGTCCAGTTTTAATACTTCCTGATCAGGCTGGTGACGCCCTTGCCCTGCACAGAGAGAGAAAAGGGGAAATGTTAGCATGGGGAATGAAAAGATGGGTTGCCTGGAATATACCAATTGAAGCTTTTTAACCTTTACAGGGACAGCATCTTTTATATGGTGGATGCTCTAGTTAGATTCCAAGAGTTATACAATATGCTGATGCAGGGAAATGTCCACTGTGATTTACCCCTGCCCAATTACTGTGATATTTCCTCTAGTATCTGCTCAGAGGCTTCAACAGACTGCCCCGCACAAAGAACTTTTTCTCCCCCTGGCCCACTGCTGCCTCAGACAGTCAATAAGGGTATGTCTACACTAGTTTGTTAATTCGAGCTAGGTAGGCAAATCAGGCAACCGGAGTTGCAAATGAAGCCCAGGATTTAAATATCCCGGCTTTATTTGCATGTTCCTATCCGGCCGACATTTTTAAATCCCCATTAGTTCGAACGAACTGCCCACGGCTGCACGCGGCAGTTTAAAGTTAATCCGAACTAAGGGCCAGTGCTTCGGAGTAATGATAAAATAGAATACGCTGTAGAATAGATAGTGAAGAGGGGCACAGAATTCATAGTCTCATGTCTAGACGCTTTGCCTGACATCAAACTGTCAATTCACAGATGTGGATGTTAGCTATTAGAGCCCTTTTCCTCACATTCATCTCTCCTGCCATGTTTCTCCATTGTTTTAAACAGAAGTAGGACTAGCTGGCTCAGGTGACGGAGGATCACCTGGGAGCAAATTTGGATCAGGTCAGTAATGTCAGAAATCACTACACCGGGACACTGCCTAGCTTTTTCTGCATAACAATTGGCAGTCTCCATCCAGTGAACAGAGGTCTCCATCAAAACCCCACCACCACAACTTGCACTAAGTACTGGGCTTCCAGACAGTCTCCACACGGGAGCTACGGATTCTGAATAATTCAGTGCCCACAGTCACTTCCTTTATGCTAAACAGGCCTTTTGGGTCACGTGTGGAGCACACTTTCCAACCCATGTGTAACAGCTTGCACTGCCGTGACTATGCAGGGCCTCTCTTGCTGCAACTGTAATGCTTTTTTTCCGATGGATTTACTTTTCTTTCCCAGTTGGGCATTTATGAGAGCTACGGATTCTGAATAATTCAGTGCCCACAGTCACTTCCTTTATGCTAAACAGGCCTTTTGGGTCACGTGTGGAGCACACTTTCCAACCCATGTGTAACAGCTTGCACTGCCGTGACTATGCAGGGCCTCTCTTGCTGCAACTGTAATGCTTTTTTTCCGATGGATTTACTTTTCTTTCCCAGTTGGGCATTTATGAAATACAGCTGTGGGAAATCCTCACTCTTTCCCTATACAGAACTGAAATGCAAGAGACCAAATTAATCTCTGTTCCATCTTCCCTGAAGTGCAAGATGGATCAGTTGAAATACTCTTCCCATCTCATAGATATGGAAAGCAGAGCTCAGGGAAATGAAGAGCATCTCAGAGTCTCAGACATGGGGAAGCAGAGGAAACACTGCAGTGACCTGATAATGCTTCCTGTTGTTGCGTAAATTGCAAGGTTCGTCCCCTGGAGGCTAAGTCAATTTGCCCACAGAAGAGAGTCACACTTTTAGGCTGGGTCCAACTCAATTTTATTGGTTGCAACCAAGGTTCGGCTAAGAAGCTCAGTGCTCAAAGCAAAGCCGACCTTGGGCGTTGGCTAAGCATCCTTTTTTATACTTTAACTTTCTTATCTAACTTGGCATGTCTTGATTTGTTACCTTAGCTTCGTGTTGCAGCGTTAGCATATTTCAACTCTATTCCACTCAGTAACAACCACCAGTATAGCTTACTTAAGCAATAGCAATTAGCAAATTTCCCTAACTCAAGTAATACATGCAATCCAGTCCTTGAGAAATGGGTCTAAACAGCTAGTTCCTCTACAGCTTCTAAAACATACGCAATCAGCTAAATGATACGTGCTGTTTCAAGCTTAAGTAATGGAAAGGGGAAGAAGCACACATAGTTTTTACTATATTTTACTACACTGTCACCTGAGGATGACGGTCAAAGTGCAGTAAGAGAGGAAGGTAGGAAGGTATGTGGAGAGGTGGATTCCTTACTTATAAGTGAATCAAAAATGTCAGGACTTGATGCTTTGGAAACATATAGCTCTCTGCTCAGCCTCCGAAGAGAACTGCTCTAACAACCAGTTAGGAAAATATCTGCTGCTCTCAACATCTGGAGAGCGGGTGGTGTCAGAGCTCTGTAGACAATTCCTTTGTGCTGAATTCAACCAAATTTCCCCTAACAATGACAGCAATAAACATGCAAGGGGCCTCCTCCTCTTTAGAACCTCCATCCTGCTCTGTAGGAATAGCTATCAAGAGCATCCGCCAGCCTCTGCCTCTTATTATCACCCTGTTCCAAAACTAAATCTTGTGAAAGAGCCCCCTTGCTGCACTTCCCCTCCAGCAGCCTCCCTCCCCTGCACCTATCAGAGTCTCAGTTCTCAGATCTGATACAACTATCTACATTTTTTTCCACCCCACCAGTTCTTCAGCTGCTGTGCCCTACAGGCCCTCCTTGTGAATCACCAATGAGGGGCACGAGAAGGGGGAGGGGATGAGGAAGGCAGCCTTGTTCTCCATCACCCTGCCAGTGGACAATAAACAGGGCCTCTGTGGAAGAAAACAGAAGGCAGGGAATGTTTTCCTCACTCGGATTTGTTGAAACAGCACCAGAACCAACAAATCCTGCGTGGAAGTAAGGGCCCTGCTGTTTCCTTTCCACTCGCCTGTCAGGACTAGCCAGGGCAAAGAGAGAGCACCTGAAAGTGCCTTGACACACAGGCTTGTTGCAAATGGAATTCCTGCTTCATTAGTCACCATTCCAGCCTGATGCTGTTAGTTTATACTCATCGGATTTGTTGAAACAGCACCAGAACCAACAAATCCTGCGTGGAAGTAAGGGCCCTGCTGTTTCCTTTCCACTCGCCTGTCAGGACTAGCCAGGGCAAAGAGAGAGCACCTGAAAGTGCCTTGACACACAGGCTTGTTGCAAATGGAATTCCTGCTTCATTAGTCACCATTCCAGCCTGATGCTGTTAGTTTATACTCAGGCCCCAGCCTGAAGGCAATGTATTTTTGGAAGGGAGCTTTATAGTTTTTCAGCCATTACTTCTGTGCTCATATCCTTCTTGCTTGATTTCCTAGAGCACCACACAGCATTCTCATTTTCCAGAAGTCACCAGCTCTTTGTTGTACGGACAATGTCCTTTTGGGGTTTTTTTTTTTTTTTTTTTAAGACTTCATCTACACTTCTAAAATTAAAGCACTGCCAGAGAAGAGAAAGTGTGGTCATGACGCCAATGCTGGGAGAGAGCCTGCCCAGCACTCTATGAAAACCACCTCGGCGAGGGGCATAGCAAACACAGTGCCCTTCACACTGGCACTTTTCAGTGCTGTCATTTGCTGCATTCAGGGGGAGGCGTTTTTTCACACCCCGAGCCAGAAAATTACAGTGCAGTAAAGTGGCAGCGTAGACTTAGCCTAAGTGATCATTGAAAACTGCTTTTTTGCTAATTTAGAATTTCGTACCTGTACAAGAGACCAAGGGTGGCATTTCGGGAGAGCAGGGTGGGAGGAGCGGGGAGCAGCTGTGTGTGCTGGGATGCAGCTTTTCTTCCCATTCTTCAGATGACAAGGGAGCGAGGGGAAAGTACTTGGATTCCCCGTATACCTCTCACTCCTGGCTGGTGAAGGGAGAAAGCCACAGAATCCACTTTGCTCTTGGTCCCTGATCATCAGGGGAACGGGATGAAAAGCAAGTTGTGTCCTGGTACAAGTGGCTGCAGCTTCTCCTCCCCCCTCCCGCACGAAACTCTGCCCTTGCAAGGGATGAAATTCATACACATGTCCAAATTTATACTGTTGTGACTGGAGCTGTGTGTGACTTTCCTGTCTAAGGCTTCACAGAGACCTTTCCTACGGCTTCAGTTCAACAGAACTCTGCCTAGGTCCACCAAGAGGTTTGTGAGACTCAGAAAACTTTGTAGTCAACATTGGCCCAAGTACTGGTTTAGTAATGAAACCCCCAAATTTGCAGACTTGGCTTTAGTTTGGGTTTTCAATACAAATACGTGTGCAGCTCCAATAGTGACTCCAAGCCACAGTCCCATATGATCACAAATATGAGGTTGCACAGTACATGGCTCCTACTTTGGATTAATAGTATATCTTAAGACGTTACATACAAACGCTATGTATGCAGCACATTCATCCCCTGGGGATGAGGCATATTGTTGGTTAGGCCCAACACATGTTTGTCTTGCAAGTCAGAGCCATGTGCTTAGCAGATTTACAGACTTTTTCTTAACTAATGGCAGCTTCCTGTTTGTAGATATTAATATAACAATCGTTACATAGTGTTTTCCATAATTATGGTGAAAATCTCAGTTGAGTATTTTCTTATGCCCAGAGGTTATGCTGATTCCCCAGATGTTCCCAATGGTAATGTCACCTTTACAAAAGGCAAATATCCAGTTTCTCATTGTCACCTTTACAAAAGGCAAATATCCAGGCAAAATTTAAACCGTCCAGTTTCTCATTTGGCTTAGTCCAAACTCCGTTTAAGTTGATAGGAGTCTTTACATGCACATGAATAGCAGTTAACATAGGAACAGCCATTCTAGGTCAAACCAAAGGTCCATCTAGCCTAGTATTCTGTCTTTTGTCAGTGGCCAATGTCAGGAGCCCCAGAGGGAATGAATAGACCAGGCTGAACCATTCCCTGTCACTCATTCCCAGCTTCTGGCAGAGACTAGGGATATTATCCCTGCCCATCCTGGCTAATAGCCACTGATGGACCTATCTTCCATAATTTACCTAATTCTTTTTTGAACCCTGTTGTAATCCTGGACTTCACAACATCCTCTGGTGAAGAGTTCCACAGGCTGACTACTCTTTGTGTGAAGAAGTACTTCCTTTTATTTGTTTTGCACCTGCTGCCTCTTAATTTTCACTTGGTGCCCCCTCCTTC